TAATAACTGGAACTCGAATTCCTTTCAAAAGTCACGCCCCTCTGGTATTGCCAAGCTTAGAACTAATGAAAAATTTTCAAACTCCGATTTCGCAAGCAATGTCGCTGGAGATAAATATACTCATCAAGAAGAAGGTTTTGGAAATAGCTCCTCTGACACCCTCCTTCATTTCACCAATGTTCCTAGTTATAAAATCAAACGGAAAGTCCCGCATAATTTTGAACTTGAAAGCCTTAAATCGTTTCATGGATCCCAAACCATTTCGTCTCTTCAATCACCATCACATGCACGAGTTTCTTCAACCATTCGACTGGATGGTGAAGTTAGATCTCCACCAGGCTTACTTTCATCTGCCAATAAGCCCAGAGCATCGACCTTATCTCCGCGTCAGCTACAACGGACAGCTACTTCAAATGACGTGTCTACCGTTTGGACTAGCTGCGGCTCCTCGGTTATTCGCGTCAGTGACGAATTGGGTTGCAGAAAAGCTACGAGAAATGGGAATGCGCCTTGTAGTATATCTCGACGACTTTTTGTTGGTTCACCAGAACAGAAAGGTCTTAGAGACTCACGTATCAACAGCCATCAAATTCTTAACTCATCTAGGCTGGTCAATCAACAAAGAAAAGTCGATCACAAAACCTACACAATCGATCGAATTTCTTGGAATCGCTTGGGATATTCACCACAATACGAAATCCCTTCCGCCGAAAAAGCTGGCGAAGCTGCGCCAAATTTTATTGACTCGACTCGCTGCAGGCAGTTGGTCCCTCAAGCAGGCGCAATGTCTCTTAGGGCACCTCAATTTTGCTTCCTTCATCACCCACCGGGGAAGGTTGCATTGCCGAACTTTGCAGCGTCACAGCAACCAGCTTCGCCGTGCCATGAGCAAGCATTGTCAGCTCACCGCCGATGCAATCATAGAGCTGGAATGGTGGCTGGAAAATGTACATTTAAAAACACCCATCCATCTGAAGAAACCTGTTACAAATTACTTAATCACGGATGCTTCGGATATCCAATGGGGTGCTCTAGTCAACAACATCAGTGTACAGGGGCCCTGGGAGAATCATCAGAAATCTTGGCATTGCAATATGAAAGAAATGTACGCGGTGATAGCTGCGATTTCAGCACACGCCACGAACCTGAAAAACTCGAAAATTTTGTTTCAAACAGACAACAAAACAGTAATATCTTACATAAAAAACGAGGGCGGAACGAAGTCACAAAAATTATTGGATCTGACAAAGAAGTTGCTAACCCTAACAGACAACCTCAATATTATACTACTCCCTTATCATCTTCCAGGAATATACAACACCGAAGCCGATCACCTGTCGAGGAACCAAACCGGCGCAGAGTGGTCACTTCAAGGCAAAGCTACACTAGATATATTTCAAAGATGGGGAGTGCCGGAAATCGACTTATTCGCTTCTCAGACAGCTCACGTCGTGCCGAATTATGCTACACTAGACTTATCAGACTCGAACGCATGCTTTCACGACGCCTTCAGCAGGATTTGGGACTACGAACTGGCATGGATTTTCGCGCCACCAGGCTTAATACCTCGAGTACTCAGTCACTTGAACACAGCCCGAGGTCGATTCGTAATAATAGCACCCAAGTGGAAGAAGCCCTTCTGGAGACCCGACCTGAAAAACAGATCCCTGACCCGTCCTCGAAAGATAATCAACCTTCACCATTACCTTACGGACACAGTTACAGGCCGAGCACCTCCAGGGGTCAGCAACCTACATCTGGAAGCTTGGCTCATTTCGGGTGGGATTCGTTGACTGTAAATTGGTCACCGGAAGAAAAAGATCTACTAAAATCTTGTTGGAGAGCTTCGACAATGAAAACTTATATCCCAATTTGGAACAAATGGTCTGCTTGGTGTCAGGATAAAAATATTAATTCTTATTCGCCCATGCCTACAGACGTAGCTAGATTTTTGGCATGTCTACATCTAGTTCATCGTTTAGCTTACCGAACCATTCTTGTTTACAAGTCTGTTATTGCTTCCATTTGTGAAACTTCATCAGACACAAAAATTTCATCCAGTCACATAGTTCGGCATATTCTGAAAGCAATATCTTTATCGAAACCAGTGCAGCCTAAAGCTCCTATATGGGATGCTCGAATTCTCATTAATTTCTTAAAAAATATGTTACCTAATCCTGACAGCCTTTATGATGTCTCTAGGCGCGTAGCAGCAATCCTCTTACTAGCCTCAGGAAGAAGAGTCCATGATCTTACTCTTTTGCATTGTGATGATAGTCATTTCATAGATAATCAAAATTCAATTACATTAATTCCCGCTTTCGGTTCAAAAACAGACTCCGCCAATTATAAACAGTCTAACTGGACTCTTCTTTCTTCTCCCGATAACAACATAGATCCATTGCGTTGGCTCAGAATATTAAAAAATCTGACTAATGATATCCGTGGACCAATTACAAACTTATTTATAACCACTAAAGGCACCCCTAAGCCTGCATCTCGTACAGTTATAGGAAACTGGCTTAAGCACCTTCTATCGGAAGCTGGAGTGCAAGCATCAGCTGGCAGTTTTAGGTCGGCGGTGGCATCCTTAAATTGGATGGAAAATTACTCTATTAATGATATTTTAGCAAAAGCTAACTGGAAGCACGAACAAACTTTTAGAAAGTTCTATCTAAGACAAATCGAATCCAATAATGATAACGTGACTGATGAACAATCTCTCTCTCTATTATTTTCTAATGATTAAATTCTTTATTTAATTTAAATCTATTCTATGTAACGTAATTCTTAATGTTTATATAACCCTGATTGGTAATTAATACAATACTTTCAATTATCACATTGTTGCACTTTATTACATTCCTTACAAGCCACCAGGAGATAACAAACAACTCTCTCATAATGGACTTCGGACGTCTAACGGAACACATAATATAAAAATTTTACCTTACAATAAAATTTGTATTATGTTTCCTCCTGACGTCCGAAGTCCACATAATGTCTTCCTGGTGGTTAACATTATCACCATTATGAGCCGAACAATGACAAATATGGCGGCTTGTCTTTGGCGGGAGAAAGTTTTTCTTAAGGGCGCTAGGGGGCGCTGCGGACGTACAGCGGAAACGGAACTGGAGATAGCGACATTACAGGAAATAAAAAGTAAGAAAACGATGTACTCTCTCTCATAATGGACTTCGGACGTCAGGAGGAAACATAATACAAATTTTATTGTAAGGTAAAATTTTTATATTATTTGTAAAAGAAACTTTGATGATTAAACAAGAGAAAATAAAGAAAACAAAGTTGGTAGATGAAAAAGTGATATCATTTATTAAAAAAGTAACAATGGGCATTTTATTTAAAAATTTGGTTAGCAAAAAGAAAACAAGCCGATAAATCAATGGGCAAGCATACAAATATTTTCTCAGCACTAAAACTGTCTGCAATTCATGTTCTGTGAACAATCATGATAACGGTCAGCAATTTAAATACAAAAATGTAGCGTATTTTATGATGCATCAGCAAAATAAACAGCTACGCCGCAAAATAATTATTTGGGTATAAAGATTATACTATTGAACAGCAAAGAAAACCTTTAAATTTTTACTTAAATTATTTAATTCATTTTATTGTTATTTTACTGGGAGTATATTATGATCAGAATTTTATATTTTAATAATATTATATATTGCATTCTGATTTTTTTCAATTAAAATAGTTATCATATGACCGCAAGACTAAAAATAAGGTACATTTATAGAATAACAAAATTACTATATAAAAAACTAAATAAATAAATCAGTAAAATCAAATGAAAATTAACTAAGTGTAATAGACAAAAAAATTGAAAAATTAAGTTAAAAGCAATTGTCAAAAATTCTTACCAGCGTATTTGATTGGCAATGCATCATCTCGTAATTTTATTATATTTAAAGTTCGATTCAAACAACTTTCCTTAAAATGAAGTGAGCAGATAAAAGTAACTTTTTCATTATATTTAATATTTTTTGCTCCAATGGAACTCGGCCATATTCTTCTTTTTGTTTCATCTTTTGGTAATCTAAAATAATGAATATATTTTTAAATAATAAAATTATCGATATAAACCAAATGTTGAAGTAACAACGCTAGCCATGTAAACAACATTATTTACGGACCGAAATAGTATAAAAATATAAACGAAAAGAGCAATATAACATAATAGAACACGCCAAAATACGATATGTATCGATTTATACACGCAATCATTTTCAGAATAACATACTTACGTTTTAAATACTGTTTTTCTAAGAAAGTGTTTAACTTACCGGTGAAACGTAATATTGCTCGGTTTGCGGGATATTGATGAAACACAACCAATTACACTGCACCTAGGCATTGTTTTGCATAAATAATTTACAATTTTCTGCCATGAAAGTTATATAAATTAAAATTACAAATGAAAATAACCACAAAACTTATAACACTGACAGCTGAACTACTTCCGAGAATACGCACTGCAAATTTGCAAATGACGGACAGGTTGTAAAAAATTTTGAACTGTCACACTAGTGTGATCTTTGTTTACTAAAGAAACTTCTTATTAGTTAAAAAAAAGACAACATGATGTTTTCGATGTCAACTTCAAATTGCATGATATTTATATAACCATAGAAAATATTTCCACTCTACTTATCTCTATGGTCTAAAGCTGTGATGATAGTCATGATAGCATGATGTCATGTCATGATAGCTTATTTGTGGATATAAAAATGATCAATAATCAGAAAAACGTGATTTTGTTATATTTTAAAGTCTTCTTCTTTTATCAATTAGTTATCTGCGCATTTCGCACATATTTTAGTCAGTCAGAGCAAGTAGAATGTCAATTTCAATGTAAATAAATTTCATGCAGCAAGGAGTAATATTTTTAATCAACATTATTTTATGGAAAAAAGCAGTCACTGAATGACATGAATGAGATAGTTCAATTAATCAAATTCCTAATAATATGTCATCGCATCACTAAAACTGTCATGTCGCCATATTTGTTTATTGTGGATGTTTTGGTTGTTACCAAGATTTTTACTTTTATACACAATTAGATCCTGTTTTTAACGCAATGATCTAGACTATAAATGTGATTTAAAAATATTCCTTTAGTGGCAAAAGCGATGTATCATTATTCAAATCAGTCAATTTATAATTATGATGTTTATTCACAGTGTTCTGTCGTCGATTTAAATAAAAACCTCAATGAAACAATTTCTTTAACTGAACATAATCAATACCAATCTAATACAGAAAATGTTTCGTTTACAACACTGACCACGAGCCATAGTACTCCAACCGAGACCCGAAACAACGGAACCGAAAGAAAGGAAAAACTGACTGAAAAAACAGTAGTGGATACATCTAACTTTAGTATAGAGGAGAGATTAGTTGCCGCAGTTTGGGTACATGAAAGAAAAAGGACAAATGTTGGTATGAGCCAAGTGAGTATGTTTACATTTTACTTGTTGTAATGTACTAAATGACTTCTAAAGTGCGGAAGTATTGTGAAGTAAATAATGGAGGAATGTTAACAGATAAAACGAGACTTTCGCCAACGGTTTGGACGTCAGCCTCCTGCTAAGAACACCTTGCTGGCTTGGGAACGAAAGCTGTTTTCCACAGGTAGCGTCCGAGATGCACCTCGTCCAGGAAGGCCTGTAAATAGGTACTGGTTTACTTAGTGTTACCATATTTGATTCTTGCTTGTAAACTTACATAATGGTATTCTATGCTATATTCTTTTGTATTTTTTTAATGTCATCCTTTACACTTGCTAACAGGTCAATAGATTGTGTGGAGCATAGCACTGACTGGTGAATAACCTTATAGCTAATGAGTTCATGTAGAATAATCAGTTATGGTTGACTGCCATGATTATGTCAAATAACAAGGGTTAAAGTATGAAATTGCCGATTTGTACTGAAAATCAAAATTGTGTATCTATACTGATATTATAAAGAGGAAAACTTTGTTTGTATGTTTATTTGTAATGAATAGACTCAAAAACTACTGGACCGATTTTAAAAAAAAACTTGTATTCAAAAATCACTCGAATTTTCACAGTATCCATCTTTCTAAGTTCAATAACAAAAACATTTTAAAGTCGATATTCAAATGTTTTACAATTTTTAAAAGAAGAACATCTTAGAAATCATGTGAAAAAAGTTTCATTTGAAAACCTCAAAGCATTAAGATTCCAGTAAAACGGCAGTTTCATACTTTACCCCTAATATTTTCATATCTATTCTTATAGAGATTATTAAAAAACTAGCTTTCCGTCAGCGGCTTCGCTCCATGGTCTTGTATTATACATAAAATCCTTCCTTTTAAATCACCTTATCTATGAATAAAAACCGCAACAAAATCCGTTGCGTAGTTTTAATATATGTCACTGGAAAATAACAAGATCCTCAACTTTATAAATTTACCTGGTAAGCTTTAACATGTTTTTGGAAGAATGGAATTCTATTTCAAAGACTTGTTGGTGTAAAGTAGTTATTAAGAGTCGTGGCCATGCAACCAAATATCAATTTTAGTTTAAAATAGGTATGTTAAATTTCTTTTTTAATGTATTTTTTTTATATTAAACTATAGAATTACTCTTTATTTTTTCAATTATTTGTCCAGCTTCAATATCATATACTATTATACTGCCCACAATAAATATACTTTTACAAAAAAGAGTTAATTTTTTTCATAAGTAAATCCTTACAAAAACTAATATTTCAAAAATTGGGCAAATTTGATTTAAAACATTTACCATTAGATAACCAAGAGCCTTTCTTATACAAAAAGTATATATAAGTTCCAAAATATTATTAGAATTAGATTTTAACTAAGAAAAATTAGAAAGCCTTGCCCTCCAAGAGACCGCTGGATACTCCCTTAGAAAATATCAGGCTGATTATGCCTATTGTATTCAGCTAATATAATGCCAATATAAATAGATTGAAACGCGTGGAGGAGGTGGCAGCGTCGGTACGCTCGACGCCTTCACTGTCAGTGCGTGCTAGGTCACGCGCGCTTGGCCTGCCGCTGTCCACCCTGCGCGCCATCTTGCGCCGAGACCTACACACCACACCCACACAAACTAATCAACATCAAAAAGGTAGGATCTCAGTCATTCATTAATCTGTTCGTTACTTATCTTTCACTAATGTTTTTGTATACTTTTTTTACACTAATATATTAAAGAGGATTTAAATGTTTGTTTGCATTGATTAAGTTTCAAAACTACTGAATCAATTTTAAAGTATCGTATTTTTCGCCTGCTAATAGCTGTATTATATGCAGTTGACATAGGCTAATTTACTACCTATAAACTTTAATTATTATTGGGACATGGGTTTTTTTCTCCCAATAGTTCCATGGACCTGCAATTGCTGTTTATGCAAGACAAAAATCATTCTCGTTAGATCCAGTATAATCACAATGAGTTATCAATTTATTTGTTGTTTGAATTATGTTTAGGCTATTCTTTTTATTATATATTGGCGAGCTATTATAAACTTACTTCTTTGTGTTGTTAGAAGCTATTCAGTTGTCCAATGATAAAATATTCCATGAAAATTCTGTAATCGTAAATTTTATAAAAGAACCATATACTTTAGTCTAAGAGAAATATTAGGTTATTATATTAAAGACATGTGCATATATGATATGTCATACTTCTCTATTTGTTTATTGTAATCTGTTCCTAGGGCTGATAAAAATGGATGATGACCCTAATTTGACATTGTGAGTGTTGAAAGTAAACGTCGTTTCCGCAGAGTACTGTTTATTGTAGCATGGTGTAGAGTAGGTCAGAAACTGAATACATCCCTTATGTCAAGAAGTACTTTAGAGAAATGTATTGTTTATGGTTGCTCACATTTGTGTCCTGGTCCGTTTTTTGTCTGTCCCAGTAACAAACTATACAAACCGCAATAACATTTCAGGTAAATTTACAAGATCTAAAGTAACAATGCAAGCCGCTAAGAAAATGGATAAAAATCAAGCATGTGCAGATTAACAATAATTGTTTTAAGATATCTTGTTCTGTTTATTAAATATACGACAGTATATTATTTTATTTCACTTAGTAATATTGGGTTACCTTCCTTATGATAATAATATCACGGTTTCAATTTCAAATATCTAATTTTGTATTTGCAACTTTCATAAGTAATACACTTGTTTGTAATATAAATGATTCTAACAAATATACAGTGTTAATAATATCTTAAACAAAAATGGTTAAAAAACACCAGTTCTAGGTACCCTGAGATCCTATATCTGGTACTTAGGACTCTTGAATTGCTTTATACATTCAATTTAAGATAAATATCAAAATAGAATAGTTAATGCAAAATTGATTAAATATAATTAATCTAATATACTTTTCTTTATAATATTTTGCTACAACATACTTTACTTGAAGTATAAAAAAATTGTTGTATTGAAAATAAGTTTCAAGGTGATTTTCCTAGATAACAATAATAATTAAGTTACAATGAAAAGTACGATGTACATTGAGTAAATAATAATAATTAAAAATAAAAGAAGTCCAGCCCTGCGCTTCTGTAAAAATCCGAATTCGAATTCACTTCAAAAAGCGGCATCGGCTCAATATAGAATTGGTAATAACGTTTCGTGGCATATGTGAATTTCGAAATGACATAGGAATAGAATATCGAAGACACGTATAATCAATTAATTTATTTTATATATTTATACAAAAAATGGAATCAATAGAATTTCTTCACTTAATGACGTAGATTCGAATTTGGGTCTGGATTTTGTCAGAATCGCGGGGCAGGCACGTAAAGTTTGTCTTATGTTTAGTACATTTTTAAGCTAATTTATTTACACTAAGTTTTATTTTGCCAACACCAAGGGCTCGTCACCCGGCTCCTTATTTAATAAACACAGATATATAATCCCCGCAAATTGTTAATGCTTCTGGCCACCATTTTGATGACGTAATTGTGTTTAAAAGTCTGTACCGATAACAAATAAACACTAGTTGACGAGTACACTTGTTGGGTTGGGTTGTGTTGAGATCACACATCGTTTTTGTTAGTTTCGATTATATTGTTAAGTTTTGTTGTTACTTGTTATGTATGACTAAAATAGCAACTGCAATAACGATTTTCACAATAAATAAACATAATTTTATTAAAAATAATAAATAAATCTAATGTCTTGCATTTCATTATTACCTTTGGTAGGGTTTAAAAACAATGTCCTTTCCGTTTGTTATTTCTATTACAAAGTAAACGTTATATTTTTTATTACCCATACATCTCAATATTAACATATAAATTGAGTCTTTTCCAAAAAATTCATACAATAAATTAACAAACTAAAAGCTATTAAATTATTATAAAAATATTTTAGGGATTATTCAAAAATATCTCAATAATTAATTAATAATTTATCTCTTGCCTTTTATGCTATCTATACTTTCTATTTTTATATGACGTCACGCGGGAGTTATATACACCCGATTTCTGAATTGAGAATTTAAAGTTAAGAACGACTCAAACTGTACTTTAAAGTCACTTCAAAACGTTTTCGCTTCTGACTTTAATTTTGGAACGGTTAAAACTGAATGATAGCAACTTTGAGTTTTGGCCTTGTGAAACGTAAAAAACTTAAAGTTATTGAGAATGAGTTGAAATGTTGTACTTTTCTCAATTCAGAAACTGGTTGTTAGATAAGGTTCCAACGTATTAGCAATTTACGGGACTTATAGTACTATCAAGTCAGTGTTGGTCAGGCTGCCTGCGTCATATTCTTGGATTTTAAAATGAATGCTTGAGGCCTTTATTCATCAGTCCGTTATGAAAAAGGGACAAATAAGCAAGTGACTTGGTTTCTAGGATAAATCAGAAAGTCGTTGTGGCGCTGCTGGGCTGATGTCAGTCAGGCAGCAGCACAAATGATCTTAAAAATCACAAAGTAGTTTTGCCGATTTGACTATTCCAATCGAATATTCTAATAGTATAGTATTGTGAAGAAATACTGTTATAACGTAATAAAACCAAGAGTCGGAGTAATTGTGAATCAAATTCAAATGTAGGTATAATGCCTGCCGAATTCTATCAGCATATAGCGATCAAGTCCCTCATTAAAATGTTAACTGCACTTTTAAAAATGACATCTTGTTCCCTAATTCTAATACACGTGAGAAAAAAAGAGACATTGAAAATCGGCTTACATAAGATTTCATCTGTTTATTCCTCAAGTTCAATGTTTCATATCTTCCAATTATGCAGACCTTCCCCTTAATCTCGAGTACAATTGCGGTCGATCGACAATACCGTTTCGTACTCTTGATTGGACTATTAACAACAATATCCTTTACAGTATGGATAATACGGGTGCACTTAATATTATTGATAGTTTATATTTACATTACAATATGTGACTGTTTTTGTCTACTCAGTTATATAATGAATGTTTTAATGACACAAACCTTTAACGTGTACTATGTCCGTGATTCATACCAAGACAATAAACAGACTAAGTATGAATTTTTTATCTTATAAAATTAATTTAACCGATGTTTGATTTTATAGTTATAAAATTATTATTAAGATAATTATAATTTGATAAGTTTCACAGAATACTAACTGCCGCACTCAGAGCCGTCTGTTTGTTTTCATAAATTATTTTTGTCCATTGATGTCCAATAAAGAATTTTCATTCATTCATTCAATGGTAGTTAAAAAAACATTAAGTTCTAAGTATGATAAAATATAGATTTATTTTATTTAGAAGTGATATATCAGCGGTTTTTTGGCTATGGCACCTTTGGAAAACAAATATATACCATAAATTAAAAAACCCTTATCTTAAGTGTACTGTTTCTCAATAATAAATTAAGTAAGTATATATTTTACTTTAACTCCGATTATTTGCCGAAACATAACCAATATTTTATAGACTGCAGAACCAAAGAGAGCGAAGCAAATTTTGAGAACCGCTTAACTACATTTTATAATAAATCGGCCTTACTGAGTGCATATTTTCATATTAATGATCCTATTAATTTTTGCTTAATAATGCTTAGCTGACACGTATAATATTGCAATTAAGCAGCACTATTGGAGGTGGACAGTGGTGACATTGATATATTTATAGAGATGGTGTAGTGGATGATATTCTTATAAGAGTACATGAGTCAATGGTCGTCGAGTGTTGAGGGCGAGAGTACAGCAGGCGCTGGCCGCACCTGGTTACGACACAGACCGTAGAACTGCTGCGGACGAAGTTTCCGCTTCATAGCATCGAACCTAACAATTAAAATGTTATGATAAATAGTAGTAGACAACACTGTATATGTCGCAGCCAAATGGTATAATCAGCCAACCAACTGGGCTATACATTGCTCAGATTTTAAACTTAAAAACAATCCTTATTTTTTCAACGAAGAAAAAAATAAAGCAAGAAGAGTTCGTTTTCTGCATTCATTCGAACTAGAATCGAATCCGGCACGTTGAAGATATTAAAGCGAACGAGCCACTTCTTCGGAGGTCGTTATGCTCCAGTTGAAGACAGATTTTCGTCGTCACTAGTTCAGAGTCGGCTGTATGAATAGTGAAAAACCGGCAGAAAAATCACGGTCCAAAATAATCAGTTCTGATGCTTATTCTCGAAAGAACGTGGTCGATCGATATTACAATCGTGCCGTTTATTACTCTTGAATGGGTACACTGCATTCTTTGGCTGTAGCCCAAGGGTAGGGCTTTTGAGAGTTAGCATAGTGGAGGTAAAGAAAGATATTTAGGTTAATCGTAAAATCTCGCGAATGTATTCCCTCTTAACAGGTATCTCGTTAATTATGACGAGGGAACCTCGATTATTGCGCTGACTAGTTAAAAGGTTGATTATGTTACCTCCACCCGACGTGTGCGGCACATGACCGGCACAGTGCTATGGTCCAGGTGTACCCGGGGAACCACGAGTATTGCGCGGAGGCGCCGCCGTCCAGTACCACGTTACCCGCGCTCGATACTGTCACTACGTCGTGCATAAACCCGCCTGCACGTATACCATAAATATACATCATCAGTATACACCACACGTGTGTCTGTACTTATATACCCGCCCGCTTACACCATACATATATTTGCACTATACTCATATACCCGATTGCAGTTGTATCCAAACAATATTTTTATGGCTGTCTGCAAAATCGCAGGATTAAAAAACTCACAACAAATCACACGTGACTTGGTAAATTTAAGTAGATACGAAGACCCATTTTACATATCACAAATTTTCACTTTAAAACGATAATAAAAAAGCTCACTTTAATACGATAGCGAAAATGAGGGTTGCTAAATATATGTACAATGTCCATATGATATGTACAAATACATGATTGCATTATATTATACGGGCACATGTGTGCTTGACGGGATTTTTACGCAAACAAAAGTGAAAATTCAATCACTCACTCATCACGAAATCTTAGAAACTACAAGTGCTAGGAGTTTCAAATTTTGCATGCAGGTTCTTTTTAAGATGTAGGTGCTCACTAAGACGGGATTTTATGAAATTCAACCTCTAAGGGGATAAATTAGGAGATGAAAGTTTGTATGATTCTTAGTACTAGGAGTTTCAAGTGCTAGGAGTTTCAAATTTTGCATGCGGTTTCTTTTTAGGACGTAGGTGCTCACTAAAATTTATATTGAGTCGAACTTAAGGGGGTAAATTAGGGGATGAATGTTTTTATGGAATTTTCTCATTTAAATTATATTTTAAATATTTAGTTTCTATATCAATTTCTTCCTAGCCATTGGCGATTTTATTAATGGATGAGAATAATACTAGTAAGAAAGGACAAAATGGCATTAGGTAAATATCCGACACATTCTGTCCATTGATCAGTGACACTCAAAAGCTGTCCTGTGATTCACACCACAATGCGTGAATACAAAATAATCGATATGATACAAACAATAAAAAAAGAAGTCAATTCAGTACTGCGATCTTCCTTCTCTTTTTGAACGCTTTACATTTTCACTTATTAGCAGATCTATGTGTTCCCTACACTAGCACAAAAGGTGTATGGATGAGTTTGATCCAGCGGGCTCCTTGCTGGATCCCGGATTCTTCTTCCACCACTGGGGTATTGCGCAGCGGCTCTTATCCGGTACACCAATCAAACTTTAACATATGCTTCTCCGTAAAAGGTAGTTAGTACTGGTTAACGCTTAAGATGCGTCAACTTGCGTTACCGAAAAAGGGTGAGTTACCTAGGTTGGTGTAGTTGGAGTGTACGCCATCGCTGGACATGGCGAAGATATGTTCACGACGCGCAATTTCCGTCAGGCACGACCCACAACACAACATGCTTTTCTGCAAATATATACTCAACATAAGATATATTTCTAAGAGGATCCTTTTTACAAAATATAATACAAAGAATTGCATTGATTTCATCTAGAAATATGATGCTAAATATTAAGAAATTATATTTAAATGAAAAATATTTTGGTATTACATATGAGTAATCTTAACTTTTTTATACTATTGTTTGCAAGTGGGGAGTGATGTTCTCATTATTTGATATTCCTGTCTACTCAGGTCAAGTCACGTAGGTTACCACAAAATGTTAACTGTCTGTAAACGATTTTAATCTCTGCTTTCAATGTACTAACATTTACAAACAAATGGTGAAACCAAATTTAGTATAATCTGATGTCGAACGTTATTGAATATAGATTATGAAATCTTCCTTTATATGAGCTAGAGACTGTGGTGACGTGGTATACAGTACCTTGTTAATGAATCGTAACTCCAGGGTGAGTCTGTGCAGTGCGCTGTCTACGAGCAGAAGCGAGAGTCTGTCACGAGCAGTCAGCTGCAGATTTGATGCCACCCAGAATGACAGTGCTATTGGCTCAGTTGGCAAGTTGTCTGTACACACATGTATACAATCATCTATTAATTTTACGTAAATCAAAACTCATTTAGCTGCTAAGGTGTTTCCACAAAAGGGAAATATACACACAACATAATACAAGTAAACCAGGATTTTTATTAAGCTTAACACCATAAGAGTGCATCTACATTCACAGAAGAACAACTTCCACTCTACTTTGGTATTTATATATTTATCAAAGCAACGATTTTCCTCTACACATTGCGAAATAAGACAGGTTACATTAGAATTCTAACAATTATCTGCGTAAATCTATACCATAGTTCATATAATTCTTAAATTCTTTTCTCAGTCTCTTTTGGTGCATTTCACAATATTGAATTATCAGTATTGTATAATAAAAATATCAAATTCATTTTTCATGTTCTAATCACAATTTCAAGTTCATATATTTATTAATATTATATAAGGCGTTTTGTATGGCAGAGGTCGAGTGGTTATTCGGTCTCGGTGGACCGGTGTCTTTATCTCTCTAAGATCCTGGGTTCGATTGCTGGCTGGGTTAATATATTATTTTTTAAATTATCGTACCTACCTTCTTTGTTTTACATACATACTCAACAATGAGGGCTTTAGGTATTTATTTTGGAATCTGATGAATATAATTATATTATTTATTTTTATATAAAATGCAACAACGTTAATAGCCATACATTTAATGTAGGAAAAATATAATGTGAGGTTTATACCTATCTACCATACATTTAATGTAGGAAAAATATAATGTGAGGTTTATACCAAGATTTAAGGTACTGAAGTATTCCTTGATGGCGCCCCTCATGCGCTTGAAGTCGAACATATCATACAGGAACGCCGGCCATGACGACACTGCCGCCTCCAGCCGTCTCAGCTCACCAGACAATCTGTACATATACCCACACAACTCACAACTTACCTTACCAGACAAACTATAGACACAAGCACGCAATTCACGACATGACCTCATCAGAAAAAAATGTAAACACGAGCATACTATTCACGATCTAACCTTTTTAGATAAACGGAGCGCACAAGCACACTAGCGATGGATATTATTCGCGATAGAGATTTAACTAGTGATTTCACCCCGATCACTCGTGATTCAGTGATACGGTAACTATCTATTTTCCACAAGGCTTTAGAGTAAAGCTGAATTCACTCTTAAGTAAATCACTTAAGGTCGATGTTTGGGTGACTTGCTTCACAATATCCGCGATCACCATGGAGCGGCATCACAGTTCGCAGCGATACGTAGACATCTTTAAGAGATCAACGCTTTACATTGACGGTCATGTAATGCAATTTTAATAACCGTATAGAATGTAATGCGTACTGTAGAGCGATTAAATAATATGGAATGCTAACAATGCAACAAATGTCATGTGTGAATGAAGGAACAAGAGGATGTCAGTATAGGTATGAATGAAATAGGTATATGTTTGCACGTTCCGCGTAGTTCGGCTATCGAAGTGATCAGGTAACCAACCCAAAATTGAGCTTTATCGCGTTTGCATAAGAATAACCACTTTGACTTTATAGCGTTGTAGAAATAACTAGTTATCAAAATAGAGAGTTTTCATATCGGTGATTGGTGATTTGATAGCGGTTGCGTTATGTGATTTAGAAAGTGGATAACGACCCATCGCTAAAGCACACAATTCACGACCTAATGTAGAGTATTCACTGGCAAGCAATTTCTGCAATTTCTTGAAGAAATCAAGTGACGATTGTGTCCAACACTAACTACAATTTTTCTATCAGCCATACACATGGGTCTTGCAGTAAGTTCGGCAATCAAAATAATTTTGCTTACCATCATCAGACAAACTGTACACACATTGTTCAACTCACGAACTATACGCTCAACTCACGAGCTATATTAATTTATAAATAATGTCAATTGATAGATATCAAAATGCTTGCAATATATTTACAATGTTGATATTAGAATTTCATTGAAATATTTTTAGATGCTTTTTATGCAAAACTTTAAAAAAATAATTGACCGTTAAAATATGTATGTTCCGTGTGTGTGACTATGTGTGTGTATAGGTGTACACATACAGTATACTGACTGCGGTCGTCTTGCATCGAGTGAGTACAGTCTCGCGTGTAGTAGCGGAGCTGTCACGCCCCCCTCGCCCAGCACCTCCACCTCCACTGTCTGCAGACTACTCACATGTTAAAGTTTTATTCTGCATTCAATGCCCATTTTTTTGAAACATATGAAAACAAAAAATGATTATCGAATGTTTGTTAAAACTGGAGTGAAAATCTGTAAGAAGAGGCGACGCCTAAGATAGCTCAATGTGTTGAGCCTATACGCACTGACGGTTGTAATTTTCGGCGAATACACGGTGAATATAGGCTCTTAAATAACAGTAAAATGGTCCTACTGGTTCCCAAATTATATTCTATTAGGTTTTCTACCACACGTGTAGATATATAGCTTATCTATTCATAAGATTCTGAGCCACTAAGATTATATTCGACCATTGTAATATAATACGTGATTCGACATTCATTGTATATTTTACTCATAAGACTGTGTCAATCACCTGCTGCAAAATTAGACTGTTTATTTTGGCGTCAATGTAAAACTGAGTATCATCACAGTTTGCTGTATGTTTACCTGGTATAGTGATGCAAGGGCAGTGGTTTTTTGGGCATGTCAACGAACCGGAACCTATGGTTGGCGCGTGCCTTCACGGACAACGAGCGGTCCCCGCCCCCCGCCTCATACACCTCGCACAACACGCCGTACCCTGATGCTAGACCAGCCTCACTATACATTCAAATTAATATATTTATGTATATGTATACAGACATGGCGACCGCGTACCGGGAGACGCAGCGTTGGTAGGCCCCCCCACAAGGTGGACCGACGATCTGGTGAACGTCGCGGGAAGCCGCTGGATGCGGGAGGCGCAGGACCGATCACGTTGGAGATCTTTGGGGGAGGCCTATGCCCAGCAGTGGGCGTCTCTCGGCTGATATGATGATGATGATACAGACATGCATAAAATAATTTAAGCAATATTTTCCCATCAGTCAAGTTTTCACTGAGATACCGCATTTGTACTAATTTTATAAAATACTAGCTGTTGTCCGGTCACTTGACTTGCGTAAATTATAGCTTATATTATGTGCCAGCTTCCCAGGTAAAAGTATTTTATAAAATCTATCCAGCAGTTTTGGAGCCTGCCTATTCTATGCAAACAATCAATCAAATCTTTACTCTTTAAAAAATTGGAATAGATAAACTTAATAAAGATACCTATGTACTATCAATTGAATGTAGTTTTTAGAAAAATAAGACATAGTTCACACATTATGACTGTTTTTTACAATAAGGAATTGACCTCAATTCTATATAAAAAGATATTTTTTCTCTATTTACTCTATCTGTTATGTCTTATTTAGTTTTCATCATATTCATTTTTAACATCCATTTGCCCATTTTATCATGCCATTCTAAACTACAGGGTAGGTTTGTGTCATACAGATATATTATAGATTTATAATAGTTGGAGAATATTTTAGCCCTTACTTAGGACAGAGCAAGGCGAACATGCGTTTGTCTTGAATGGCTTGTGCGAGGACAGGCGCATCGGCGGCGCGTGGTAGTAGCAACGGCACGGTCTCCCCAGGGAACACCGCGCTGTGATGCGCCACTGCGGGAACAGCGCCTCGCCACCCCGCCGTCACCACCTCCCCTCCCCGCACCGCCACCAGACCAGGACCCATGTACTGATCAGGGCAAACCAGAATTAGAACACTAATTTTATCATAACAACAACAATCATTTTATTGTTGCATTCACAATAAAGACATTGATGTTTAATCAGTTTATTGAAATATAACAATACACTATCATGGCCCCCCTAGTTTCAGTTCTTGTAACCTTCTAACAATAAATAACAAGCTAATATTTTATAAATAAAATATATGTACTTATGATTTTTTTTAAACAAGAAAATACTACATAGTTTGTTCACATTTAAGTCTCCATTTCAGGGTCGGATCTAGGGGGGTCAAGTGGGGGCATGTGCTTCAGGCAGGGTTAGGGGGGCTCCAAAATCATGATAATGTGTATAATATAGATAAAAATGGAAACTCATAGACATATGCCTAAGTTATGTAAAAAAATATGTTCCTCAAAGGCATAGGTTTGTGTAACAGTGTAAAATCAGTCAGAAAAAGTTGAAGAACTGGGCCTGCTCCATTTCCAATGTATCTCGTAATTTATTATTATAACTATCAAGTAGTTAGGAATTCTATTAGTTCCCTATTTCATAACATCCCCGTGGCATAAACACCTAACCATTCTGTACATATGTCACTTTCTTTAATATTTGCCAAGATTTGACATTAACTATGATAAATTAATAAGTCTCAAATAAAACAGTAAAATATTTGTTTTCTATAAGATATTTTTTTTATATATAAACTCACAGAATGTGAAGCTGCCAGTGTTATATCAAATGGTTGTTCTTCCTCATCATCATCATCAGAATCAGGTTGTTGGGTACTAATTATGGAATATCTGTCTTCCTCCATATCTTCTGCACTGTCATGACCATTATCATCACTGTTAGAGTCATAATGGTCAACATCACCATCTACTGATAATAAAAAAACATAACTAAAGACTTCAGATTACAATAATAACATCTTATAATAA